AGGAAAGTAAATATCTTTTAATAAATGAACTTTTATATGGGATAAAACTTAAAACTTCTATTTATTATTATTATTATTATTATTTTAGTTATTAAAATTAAATTGTAGAGACAGGGTTTCACCATGTTTCCCAGGCTGGTCTTGAACTCCTGAGCTTGAGTGATTCGCCTGCCTTGGCCTTCCATGGTGGGATTATAGGTGTGAGCCACTGCACCCGGACAAAACTTAAAACTTTTAAAACCTAGCTTTGCTCTTAAAAATACTCCCCCATTCTAATTATGTAAAGAAGTGAGCAGTGCCAAAGGATTACTCCACTCATAGATCTCACCTACAGCACCTTCAGACCACATCAGTCACATTTCGTCAAACATTTATTCAAATACAACTTGGGGATAAAAATCCCTGAGATTCTGTAGATGCTTTTGCACTTGCTGTCTCTGGACTCATTTGTAGACTGTGGTGTTGAGGCAGGGGTATTGGTTTAGAAGTCTTACCCCACTTCTCCAGACTGCTTATAGGAGGGGGTTCTGCTCCCTTTTCTTTCCCATTATTTCCTAAATGCATAGAATGGAGGGGAGCACACCAGCAGAATTGTGTCCTGTCACTTCCATTACTTAAGGACTTCTACTCTTTATACATTCCTATATCCTCCTTTTCCTCAGAGAATGGTTGGGGACCCCTTTACATTTAAATGCACATGACATGTGCTTGAGTGATATAGCAACCATGGAACTCCTTGAAACATTTTCAGATAGTTAACTTCTGTGCTTCCATTGTTTTCTTATCCTTTTAACATTTTTGTTTAATAATTATTTTAATCTGAAAGCTTATACAGAAAATCTGACATTAGGAAAAAGTGTGCAGCAAATAGTGAGTGCCTCCTGGGCACTGGGAAGGTTTCAGATTGGTGTGATATACTGATCTCAAGGTTCTTACCATCTAGTAGAGAAAATAAGGCAAGTTTAGAGAGAGAGTTGAGTAGTAGGACTGTGAAGGTAACATGCTGTGTTTTTTTTTTTTTGGTGGGTTTCGCTTTTTGGCCGGCTAGAGTGAAGTGGGCTCAGGGTCCCACAGTCATTGCAAACTCTGTCCCGCTGGTTTCGAAGCTGTTTCTGCCTCAGATCCGAGTGCTGGCGTTTACAGGCGCCTGACCCACACCCTGGGAACTTTGTATTTTCTAGTAAATGGGGTTTAGCATTGTTGTCCAGGCTGGTTTTGACTCTGACCTTGTGGTGAATCAGCCTGCCTCGGCCTCCCAGAGTCTAGGTTCCAGGCATGGAGCATCATGCCGTGGCCTGTCTGTTATCATTGTAAAGGAGGTACAGAGTCCAGCTAACATCGTTTTTGTAAAGCTCATTCTTTCCCAGCTGTTATAGAGCAGTGCACGCACAGAAGCTGTGTTTTTGTACAGAATTATTATGTACTAAAGAACAAATTGACCCAGACGCCTAATCAGATATTCGTATTGGTGTTATTTATTTAGATTTTCCCCCCCCACGCCTACATGGCTATATGGGATATTTGTCGTTTTGTATCTTTATTCTATTTATATATTTATAATTTTTACGGACAACATTTCCACTATGGCCCAGGCTAGCAGTGCGTGGGTTCCGGATCCAAATGATATGTGCATTTCATCAATCCTGGGGCTCAGCAGCTGCCTGGCAGCTGGCTACGGCCTCGCGCCACGCACCTTGTGTTCTGGACGAGGAAATTTTATTTCTGAAATTGTTTTATCATGAGGCATTCCCCTTACCTGTTAAAACTTGGTTTGGAAACAGCCAGGCAGTAGTGGTCATGGCGCTGTAATCCCAGGGGCACGTTTGGGAGGCTGAGGTGGGCAGATCCTGAGGCAAGGTTCGAGCCTCCTGGCTAAGCACGGTGGAAATCGTCTTACTAAAATATCAAAAAATTAGCCGCGGGATGGTGGTGGCAACCTGTGCGTCCGCTTCGGAGGCTCGAGCAACCGCACAATGCCCTGGTGAACTTGGGAGGTGGAGTTGGCCCCAGTGAGCTGAGTTAGGCCCAGCACGTATACTCGAGGCTAGCGAACAGCGTGAGGGTTATCTCAAAAAAAAAAAAAAAAAAAACATTGTTTGGAAAAGATGTTTACAGTTGTGCATAAGTATATTTTATTATTATGTGGTTCTTTTTGTGGATTTAGGTCCAAGTTTTTATATTTTTAGGGAAATTTGTGACTTTTTGCTAATAAATGGTTTGTTCTAAATCTTTGTTATTTTGAGAAAGGAGCCTAGAAGTACAATCGTAGGATGTGAATATGATGATTTTTACGTTTTCTTTTTTTTATCTTGCCGCTTGCTTTATTTTTT